AAGTGTCTTGATCATAAGCTGATGTCCCATAAGTGACAAACCCATCAACCTGACTTTTGATCTAATACTGTCAGAGTTATCTACCAGTAACAATCACATATTAACCAATCTGACTTCAGTGATTGAAGAACTGCTTACAGTGCATCTGTAACTCTCAAGGTGTATAATTTTGTGCCCAAAGACACTCTCTCCCATACCTCTTGAAAATGGTTGAAATAACCCATATCAGGTCATAAAAAAATTAGATAAAGTCTAACTTTGTAGATAAAGTTTGTTGACTGATAAAGTGACAATGTAATGATGAACCCACTCTCTGTCTGGCTTCACTATCTTATCTTACTTGGTAACAAAAAAAGTGTGTCAATGAACCTCATTACTCATCAGGTCACTAAATGTCATATCAGTTGGTGTCGGGCTTGTATATTTCTGATGTCCTTACCATCCTTTGTTGACTATGATACACTGTACCTCTTACTGCTGTATACAGAACAGTACAAACAGTTAATACTTATTATATTTTCAGGTAATAAAATTATCCTTATGTCTGAGAGTTGGTAACCATGTTTCACCACTCCAAGTGATTTCAGGCATAGCATGGTTAGTATCCACATGATGCAGTGGCACAGGGGCCCAGAAGACACATCTGGACCCCAACACATAGCAGGTGCTGGAGGACAGACCAGTGAACAACATCAACCATCTGATTGGAGCTATGACCTAGGAGCCCCTGTGGTGCAGAGTACTGTACTGTACAGTTGACCCAAAGGAAATTGATTTTCACTAGGTGGAAGTGATGCCTCACCAACTTTGGTCTCCACCCACACATGCTGAAGGACTTTACCAGTTAGTGACCCCAGCTGGCCATGGAGGGGCCCACACTAACACCACCATGTGCAGCCAAGGATCACAACATCTCCTCGCACCCACCAGACCTACAATCCAAGTTTCAACAATAATTTAATAAATCAATAAATCAATTTACATCAGTGAAAATAAACACTTGTAGCCAAAAAGACCCAACAGAGTTACAGTACACAAATTATTACCAAGCCAATTACTAATACATGTATAAAGGTTTAATACTGATTACTGTACAGTATTTGGTATTTCTTACAATTTGACTGCTGTATATATTGGAAGGTGATGGATGACCTAAGATTCACCACCTAGCTTATTGCATTTTACGATTAACCACCGCAACACTACCTGTACCTGTGGGGTTCGGTTAGGTTAGTGGTGAAGGATTACTCTAATACACAGTCAATAACAAAACACTCCATACTCCAAGGGATGGTAAAACGTGTCCTAAAGCTAATTTTCTTCACCAAGTCTCCCTTACTCTCTACCTCAACACATCACTGCCACCACCAGCAACACCTCCTCCTCCGTGCCAGCCTGGCGGCTCCCGCTCCCGCCAGCGACACTTGGTGTCCGTCAAGCTGCGTGCCATCCTCTGGGCACCCTCACCAACCAGTTCTACTCAACGCTTGTAACCCTGCTGCCTACCCAGCACCATGCTGCATTGTACATCCAATACAAAATGTATACAGTGAGCACATTGTGAGTTTCCTTTCTCCATCCCATCCTGAGTGTGAACCAATATCTCATAACCCCACAAATGGTGACCCCGGAGATTCGCACTCACACCAATCACTCTCCCAGTCTTCAAGCAACATGGAAGACTGGCTTACCCACAGAGGCAGCTCTCATCGGCTCTACAACTACTGTCTCTACACCGCAGGTTAGACACCCTAAGCAGCTCTGCTACTCTAAGCAGACAACCGCTTCTCTTCCTGCCCCAAGCACCACGTCCTACCGACCCCAACACACCCATCCTGCCTCAGACGCCGCCCCCGGCCCAGCAGTACCCCCTGCCGCTCCTCCTGACGCGGCCCCTGCTCCTGAAGCGGACCCACACACCACTCTTTTCTCCCTCAGGTGCCCCCTGCTACTGTCCTGCACCCTGCTACTGTCCTGCACCCTGCTGCTGTCATAGACACTCTTCCTAACGCAGCCCCTGCTCCTGACCCAGAGCTACATACCCCGGCAGGCGCATCTGAGAACTCTGTACCTGCCGCGAGGGAAGCACAACATTCATCGCCTCCACAACCTCCTTCTCCCCTCTCTCCTCCCACAGATCTCGTGTATCTAGACAGAGCTGTCCCCCCTAGCAGCCGGCTCATCCACGCCCGCGCCGCTGTGACCAGCCTCTTTCTACTCACTGCCACCAGCAAGCAACACCTCCTCCTCCTCGCCAGCCTGGCGGCTCGCTCCGCCGGCGACCTCGGTGTCCCTCAAGCCGCGTGCCCTCCTCTGGGCACCCTCACCAACCAGCTCTCTCTACTCAATGCTTGTAACCTTGCTGCCTACCCAGCACCAAGCTGCATTGTACATCCAATACAATATGTATACAGTGAGCACATAGTGAGTTTCCTTTCTCCATCCCATCCTGAGTGTGAACCAATATCTCATAACCCCACAACAGCTCCCATATTTCAAAATTCCTTTGCCATAAGAGAGTAATTTATTGCAGCAATAGTTATGCATTATTTATGTAATATTGTACAAAATACAGTAGACAGTATGTTTAATTCATTATATACAGGTAATTAATCACTGCATACATTTTATTTATCTATAATTTTGTCACATGTATTACATACAAAACAATACTGTATTGTTCAATGAAATCCTACCAAAGGAAAATTAGGTAGTGATCCAAATTCTCTGGTATTCAGTGAGTGCTGAACACCTGGCCAAATTTTTCAACGTAATGTATAAAGCAACCCAGAAACAGAGATAATTATCTTATGGTTGAGAACTTTTGGGATATATACAATATATAGTATATCCTGTATGTGTGTGTATATATATATATATATATATATATATATATATATATATATATATATATATATATATATATATATATATATATATATATATATATATATGTATATATATATATATATATATATATATATATATATATATATATATATATATATATATATATATATATATATATATATATATATATATATATATATATATATATATATATATATATATATATATATATATTATTTACATGTTAAATCAATGCGAACTCGTACTATTTTAATAATAAATACTGATATATCTATCTAAGATAATATCAAGAGATTGAGAAAGAATGGGATGCAGGAATATAATGCGGGTAGCGGTGGGCAGCGCCACACACAAGGGCGGTCACGCCACAGTCACATGATATATACCACCATAGTACTCTGCTTCCTCTTTGATCACTAACCCCGTTTAACCTTACCTACGAATCTTCTGGGACACTTCTAAACGTTTTAGGGTTGCAGACCTGGCAGCACAAACACTAGCTCTGGCAAACACCACTCTTAAGTTCACTTCTTGTTCACAATGACAGATGTGTACAGTCTGACGAAAGTAATTTAGTTTGTTCTTCCCTACTGGCAACTGCGTACTGATTGTTTGTTTGTATTATTCGATATATGTTACATTTTTGTACTTCATGCCCATTTACTTTCACGAAAAATATCACGGGGTTCTGCTTTGTGTGTTGGGTTTTTCTTCTTAAAAATATTTATAAATATGCAAAAGTCAAATCAGAAAAATAGCCGTTGGAAACCTTTACCTGATTGTATTCGCCACACCGGGTGTTGCGTCATTGAGCTCCCCCTATTATTTACTATTTGATTTCATCTCGACTGCTGACACGTATACAGAATGATAAGATTGTAAATACTTGTGTGAGGAAACGTTTAAACCGCGGCTCAGTATAAAATACTGAAGTGTATTTACAATAAAATTTAAAAAGCAGTAGAATCATATCTGGCGAAGAGGATGAAACAAAGCATAACAATATTCAGAGCCATAAAGGCATGAAGAAATTTGTGTGTTAAGTGAAGGAAGGGGGATTTTCCTGTGATGATAACCGTGACACAATAACAGATAGAATTGCATCTAAATAAAACTTAAATTGTCAATGTGGGTTAGGGATAGAGTATCAGTATTCTAGCCATGTTTCCTCCCTCTGCTGGCTTACCACAAGGGGGCAACTCTTAATGTACACCAACTCGTGCGTAAACTCACGTAAGCAGACACAATGCCACATAATGGTTCCTCGTGTAACGAGGATGGTCAACCAAAGGGTCACCTAGGCGTGAATTTGTTTAAGATGAAGAAGCTGTTGCCAACACAGCAACCACACCCTGAGTTAACGAGCTGCATGACCCAGTGTCAAGGAATAGTCCTAGAAGATCGGATAACTCACCAACTGCACTATTTAACCATTACCCTGGAACACGATCCGCAAATCGATTAATATCCAGCTTGCTGAGTAGACAGGCAAATGGCGTAAAGAAACTCTCACGGCGCACATACTGTACACCACATTTTTCTCTTTGTTTTAGCGGGCAACATAATTTTAATTTAGAGTTAGAACACGTATAAATTACTAATATGTGATGTATAGTCACTGAGAATAGATATTTACACGAAAAGTGCAGAAGTAATGTCGACAAGTCAAACAAAATGGCAGTATCTCACTACCTTCACACACAATACACTTATTCTGAAACGCCCTCTTTTTTTTTTATCAACCATTTCCACTTTTTACCAACAAAGTCGGCCCGGACATGCCTTTTATCCGCGACACCACCAAACATCGCAGGTAATTTCAGTGAGCCAATTCATATTCAAATTTTGCCGCGAAACTAATGGGCGCTTCTACCTGTGACCTTTATAAATATGACACTCATTCTTTTAATACTATTATTGTTTTACTTATAATTTATTCATTTGATCACGTCTCTGATTACTACAACATTATCGGTCCTGTCGATATAGTACAACCAAATGAACCCAATGAAAAGTAGCGATGAAATTAAAGCATCATATTCCTGTCACTACACGTAATAAGGTGACGATACTCTTTAAATAAATCTGTAGGTACTTATATTTTTATTGGTGAATGATAAGATATCTGATTACTCTAATGTTCGTTTAATACATTGATCGAGGGGAATCAGACACAGTGTTGACAGTCATCAGCTGATCAAACAGGAAGACGCTACGAGAAAACCGTAATATCCCATTCATTCATTCACACATGCTCGTTGAATCTAAATTTTCTTGTCTTTGTCTTAGAAGAGGAAAAGTAAAGCCTATTTAACAGTTTTAGAGAGATGTAATTGTGATATGTTGCTGTAGTTTTTAGCTACGGTTGTTGTACTGGTGGTGCTTATCAGTGTGTGGCATATCATATCCCACTTGGACGATCGTCAGTTTTATGAGATGTAACCTAACCTAACCAAATCTAACCTGATCATTTAACAAGGATGGTAAAAATAGCATAAAAAAGACTGTTATTAACGAGCCGATCAGTGGCGAAGAGAATAAAAGTAAAATAAAAAAAAGCCTGACACCGTGATTAAGTCTAATGTGTCATTGTTAATGAATACAATATCCTGAACTGGGACAAACCTCAAAATTAGTTAATTTCTAATATAATTTGGTTGATATAAATCATTAAATTACCGAGTATTATTTGTGAATTATATAATTTAAGCCTGCCTTGTCTTCCATAATTAATATTGTTTTTAAAATTATTTTATTGAAAACTAACCTAACCTTAAATATCCTAACTTATGTTAAATTAAATGGTTATTTCTGATTACAGCTCTACCACCAGGAGTTATTCAATTTCGTTAATTTGACCTCATGTTTTTATCATTATGGTAAGTAGGGTATTTTAAAAGATGCAACAACCTATTATTTTAATTACAGTATTACAGTACTATTTTATTTAAATCTTTAGTTTTGCTCTATCTGTGATCATAAATCACCTGTAGTGGGATGGGTATGAAGGATGAGGGCAACTGTGGGGTAAAACACACTGAAACCATGATCATATGACACTAAAATTATGTCTATATGTGCTTTGTATGTGGAGAAATTAATTATTTACCGTAAATATATCACCAAAAATTCTGCTGAGTCACCACGTGTCGTGTTTGTTTACAATGACCTGGTCAGTCTGAGCAGACTCTCACATCCACTAAAAATGTAAAATTACACCATGATGCTTCAGCAAAGTTGCTTTCATTGGTACCATATATTAAAATAAGTCCTTTCTGTTTGATATGGCTGGGGTACACGAGGCGTAGCCCCCGACTGGAAAGTTAGGTAACGTTAGTCCATTCCCTAACTGTTATAATTTCTGGATGCAGCCCAATATTTTTTTTTTTTTTACATTTTACCCCCAAAGTTACATTAATGTACAAAATGGAGTAAATAATAGAGTAATAATCTTCCCATCACAAAGGCCCACAAGTGAGTTGCCACGTGGCTGCTGCTTTCAATTTGGCGCACACAAAGACCCACAGGTAGTAATAACTTGGCTAAATATTCTATAGATTTATACTTAGATAGCTTAATACTGCATCTGGAGGGACTGTTAATGTATATACCAGTGGTTCTCAACCTTGTTTGCCCCATGCACCCCTTTCACCATATGTCAGAATGTCATTCCCCCCTCATTTCCAAGATTGTCTGCCTCAAAAAGTGCATTCCAAATAATATGCATATAATACTGAAAATCCTTTATTTTTTCCATATTAGTACATATACATTTACAATTTTACATGGATTATTTTTATAGTGGAGTTTTACAAATTAAATGCCAATTGAAAATGTTGATGGATTTATAAAACTTGAATAAAAGTAAAATAGTTTATTTTATATTTATAATGAATTACTTAACAGACTAAACTGAAGCATAATGCAATAAACAAAAAGTTCAATAGAATACCAGGATATTGTAAATTTGTAATTAATTTTATTCGGATGAAGATTACAGTCAATGAGAAACCTGTGATTGTTTTTTCTTCGCCAATTCTGGGATACGCGGAGGAGTGCTTGAAAGGGCACAACGCAGGTCATTTTCTACCTCTAATCTACTACGTTGCTTCGTTTTAATTTGCAACAGAGTTGAAAAGCCTGACTCACAAAGATATGTCGACACAAACGGAAGCAATGCACGGATAGCTCTTTCTGCCACTTTTGGGTAGGAATCGCACATCAAGGCCAAAATTCTGTGATTGATTTCCCATCGAACATATCTCTTGCTCCCAAATCAGTTTCCCCTCCCCCTGAAAACCTGAATTCCCCCCTGGTTGAGAACCCCTGGTATATACCATACCTTATGTAACACTGGTGTGGTTTATATATCATTACCATCACTTCCACCATTTGCTGATTTCTCCCTGAAGCTGTAAAGGGTAAATTAGAGCTAAATAAATAAAAAATAAAAAGCTCTGAGAACCCAGACTACAGTATGTAAACAAACTTTGTAACAGTGTAGGGAACAGGGATATTACCCTCACCAAGTGGTTTTGTGAAGTGATGCCAAGACAGCTAATCACATATCATGCCAGACCACAGAGTACTATAGTGATGTATCTACAAATCCTATAGATCATGAGATGTTATGTAGTATTTGTTTCATGTTTTGTGCATTTTCCCCCTGAAGAATTTCATATTGTGTATTTTGACTTTCAGGTGTGCAGATTCTGGAAATATAACACAGTACTACCATGGCCAGTCGGGGGGCGAGTGAAACACAAAAATTACGACAGCAAATGGAAGATCAGTTGGACAGATTAGTGGCACAGTTATCTGATCTTGAAGAATGCAAGTAAGAAATACGCAACTTTGGTATTGATAACTAGTCAAGCCCTGGATGTTAAAACTAAAACCCTTGTTGCCCCTTCACCTCACTTCATGGACCTGGTGGCAACCCCATGCAAGAGAAATTTCTGTAAATCTCAATATCACAGACTGACTGATATCTCCCCAACACTGTCCAATCAGTGGGTTGAAACCATTGTCATATAGATTAGGAGAGATTAGTTGACAGCAATACAGGAAGCATTCTAGTAGCCTTTGCACTGTCCTTTGACTATATTACAGTATGTATGTTTATTTACAGAGCAGACTTAGACGAAGAGGAATATGAAGAGGTTCGAAAAGACACCATTGAACAGCTGAATGAATTTCAGTCATCACTTTCACGGATGACCAGCGGTGATATGACATTAGTTGATTCCTTTAATGCAATGCAGTTGGTAAGACCCCCATGGTGTGTTGATTAATATGATGTGAGCTGCAATGCATGAATTATTTTCTGAATACTAAATTAGACCTTATACAGTACTGTATATCACTTAGAAATGCCATTGAGCCTCACACTTTATTTAGGCCAAATAAGGCAATATTGTACAGTACGGTAGTTTATATTAATTCAAAAAACTTCTGTTTAAAAACTTAATTTTTTGGGCAATCTCCCTCAAGCCAGGCAACTTTTGTAATGTAGGGTAACTAACTATGTGGCCCTTATATCTGTAGACCAGGCCTTCAGTATCAGTCAGGCTTAATCTCTCATACTTTTGGATAAACGAATCATCCCTCTTCCCTATCACACCAACTTCAAATGAGACAGACATGGTGGAACCCATAGACAGTGGCTCAGAAAACCTTCCTCCTTGGCTTCATGACTAGTCAGCTGGAACTGATATAGAAAATGACAGATTGGCCAGAAATCAAAGATGGTGGGCAGTAACTTCAGCAAGGTAAGTACAAATTGGGTAGTCACTGCTCTTTAAGACCTCCAGCCAATTTGTACAACTGTTGCACCATGTCCCCTTCCATTGACATTGATCAGTATAGCTGGGTTGATGTTCAGGGCACTGTTTAAGGGCACAAGGACACCTTAGTAAGTTGGTCTATATTACAAGAGCAGCCTGGCTATGGGCTCAACCAGAGATAGGTAGTTCAGGATCCTTCTCCTTTTCTCTTTAGTCTCATAATATAGATGAATCAGCATCACTATTTAGTCATCTCAAGCATTTTTTTTTTTTTAAGATTGGATAATGTATAAACCTCAGTTCAAATATCCCACAATGTTGAGAATGAGTATAGTACAGTACTGTACAAAAATATTACATAGCACTTTGTACGCCTGCATGAATATAATACCAAGTTTGATCCTTTAGGCCATCCAAGCAGCAATATCTCAAGCTTTTAAGACACCAGAAGTCATCCAGATGTTTGCAAAGAAACAACCAGATCAGCTGAGAGAGAAACTATCCCAGATTGAAAGAGACCAGAAGATAGGCAAGCTTCCTGTTGAACCTTACACACAGCAAAAGGTAACATTATTGCTGCAGAATATCAGGAAGATTTTGATTACCAGTATTAATGGCTTCTTGATGGGTGTAGTTCCATGTACCTGATGTTATGACAGTTATTCAGATATGTTGGAAGGTATGAGTTGGGTATCTGTACCTGTATTGTTTATTGTTAGGTAGACAGCTATGCAAGAATAAATAGAGGACTTGAGTTAGTACAGTACAGTACTGTACTGTATAGATTTTGCAGTAAGTTAAGGGCTACATATTAACTCAACAAAGACAAGTATGGATGTACAGTATTTTATCACAATGTTTCTTTAGTGTTTTCTTTATTAGTGCAATGTAAGAATTATTGTATCATTCAAGTGTAGAAGAATCAACAGGAAGGACTGAAGGAACCAAGATTAGTATGTATTACTTTATGTATGCAGCCAAAAGAATGTCCGTGAGAGTCATTTGTATTGTACCAGGTTCAATTTGTGTGATTTGTAGTGTCTATATTCACTAAAGGCCAGATTCAGTAATCCATAAGCCTTATCAGGTTAAATCACAACTGAGAATCCCTTGTTAATGTACCTTAAAGCAGACTGTACATAGTTGATGAATCCTCTTAGAGCATCAAATTTTCCTACCATTTAATTCACTAATTCTTGGTTAACTTATAATAAATGTCCTATATTAAATCAAGGTTTCTTTTATTTTATGTATAATAATTATTTCTGGGTTCAGGTAGAGTCAGGATTTACTGAAGGGTTGTGTTTCTGAAATATAAAAAATGGTGTATTGAGGTACAGTACAGTATAGCTTCCCACTGACTTTCAATTCATAGTAGAAGATAATCCTATGAAAAACAAAACCTTGCAAAAAAAAAAAGGTACTATAGGCCTGCATTAGATTTTTTTAATGGAAAAAAATTAAATTAAATCATTGAAACACGTCAAAATTTGGTTGATAAAGTTATTAGTTTACGAGCCTTTTTCAGTTTCACTTTTACATCGCCATCGCGTGTACCTCTTTTTCCCTGTCATTTTGAAATTGAGATCAGAATTTAGCAGAGCATTATTTAGTCTTGTTCAAACCAACACGTAAGGAGGCAAAGCTTGTAAACAAACCTGAATCACACCAGTGAATTTTACTGAAATATTAGACATTGCTCCGTGACCGACCATCGCGCTTGGAAGAGGGGGGGGGGAGGCAAGGTGGGGTACTTTGATTGACAGATAGTGTCGTGAAGAATATTTTTTTTTTTATGAACTGAAGATATTTGTTTTAGCATATAAAATTCATACAAATTACCCGGCCAGAATATAATTTACATTGCTGGAATTCTTACAATTTGATGATCATTTTGAATATAAACATCATAGATTTTGCATTAGACATACAAATTTTAGATATAATATTTACTCTGAGTAAATATGTTATCTTTTGTGCAAAATATATGATTTATATTCAAAATATTCCTGGTCTTACAAGGAATCCAGCAATGTCAATTATATTATCCTAACTTTAGTTTGAGGTATTATTTATTAAATCTAGTGGTTTTACCCCCAAAATTTCTCAGAGAGGGAAGAGCCAGCAGTGTAGTGTGAGAAGAGGGGGAGGGAGTTGAGTCCATTATTTGAATGGACATTAACTTGGCGACTGTATTTCTCTATTTCTCTTAAATATTAATTGTGTGCATGTACCATCATAAAATTAAGATGTTATTTTTACTAGAACATAGGTATTGTGTCGGAAAAAGTAGCGTTTGGAGGTCGGGCCAGTCTCTATTGGAATTAATCCCATATGTTCTGTTGTTCACTTAACGCGGTACCCTGTGGGTTCAATTGACCACGTAAAGCGGGGTACTACTGTATATATATATATATACATATATATATATATATATATATATATATATATATATATATATATATATATATATATATATATATATATATATATATATATATATATATATATATATATATATATATATATATATATATATATATAGTTCTCATGAAAAATTAAATATATATATATATATATATATATATATATATATATATATATATATATATATATATATATATATATATATATATATATATATATATATATATATATATATATATATATATATATATATATATATATATATATATATACACACACACACACACACACACACACACACACACAGTTGTACCCCACTTAACGCGGTCAATAAAACCTAGAGGGTACCGTGTTAAGTGAACAACAGAACATATGGGATTAATTCCAATAGAAACTGGCCCGACCCCCAAACTCCACTTTTTGACGACACATAACTATGTTGTAGTAAAAATTTTATCTTAAATTTATGATATGATAAAATGAGTAATATAGAAGAGGTTAGGTTAGGAAAAATAAAGGTTAACATAGGAAAAATAAAGGTTTGATAACGCAACAAAGACACACACTGAGCAACCTTACCGCGCGGCTTGCCCAAGCGGAGGGAGGAGGAGGGAGAGGCGAGCACAGGCAGGCAAGCGGGCGGGTGGCGCGTGGGGCAAATCTAAAAATAGCGTCTCGAGCCGGACACTCACCGGGTATACGTGGAAAAAATCCGTGTTAAGTGAAAGTTCAGCTCTGGCGAGGCACCGCGTATACGGGAAAACGCGCTAAGTGAAACCGCGTTAGGCGGGGTAATACTGTGGGCTTTTGTGTGTATGTGCGCATGCGTGAGCGCCACAGCTGCACAGCGACAACAAGCGACCACGTGGTCTCCACTTTAAAACGAGCAATCAAACTGTGACAACATACCGTATATACTCATCTATAAACCCCCTCTCGTTTATCTGTCGACCCTGATTTTTTGACCAAGAAATCGTTAATTTATGATATTCCTCGTTTATAGTTCGACCCACGTTTTTGAGGGTAAGCGAACAACAAAACCTTCAGTAAAAACGCTCTACGTCCTATAAACTGAAACACGAGTGCCGAAGGCAAATTGTTTACCATTTATTATTACAACACTTTACACTGAAACGCGGGTAGTTTCAACAAAAATATTGTATATTTCCATTCAAGTATTTATTCAAGTCAATTAGGAGGGAATATTATTGTAATACAACAGTTTTTTAACTAAACCATTCGAAAAGTGATTACGGTAACATCTTTTGAACGAAAGAAAGCGAAAGTCATTGTTTTCGTCACGATTTGATCCCACTTTCCACTGTAATACGTACGTCATTTTAGCAAAAATATTACATTTCCGTGAATGCATTATTTCAAGCACAGTATGAATAGAACAATATTTTGAGTCTTACTCTTTCCATTTACAGATTACTGTACAAGCCCATAATAATGGCTCCTAAAGTAGATAAACTTCGTTGTGTGAAGAGAAAGAAGAACACGTTGAAATTGAGTGACAAACTTGAAATAATTAAGAAACTAGTACGTGGTGTGAGCAATACTGTTCTAATGGAAAATACAACATTGGAAAGTCTACAATTTATGATATCAAAAAGGCAAAGAATAAAATTCTAGAATTCACAGCTTTTTCATTAAAACTGCTCGTTTTGATAAATGAAGCATGCTATATTTGCTAATGAATAAACTGTTTTAATGCCACCTTGTGCTGTAGTATTTGTAATGTAGCACCAAGCAGTAACTTAAGAGCTGCTTAATTTTTTCCCTTCTGGTAATGTTGATTTTTGAAGGATTGCAAAATATTTTAGCTGTCTAGGTCATTCCGCTTGCTTATCTTGATGTCATTACTACAATAGTCTTCTCTGTTTACAGTTACAGTATCTTGTTCTCAAGTATTCCTTCTGATTGATATACTGTACTTACAGGTTGAGATCTTAAGTGCTCTGCAGAAATTGGGGGTGTCCTTGACAGCTGCTGAGCAAAGTTTCCTAGATTCTCATGGTTCTTCCCTCATGAAGAACTTTGACCAGGTCACTGATGAGACAGGTAAACATATTAATGGCTTTTCAGATAAGTGATCTTTTTCATTCATTTCACTCCACTTTACATTTGTAGACTCAGAGAACGCACTTGACAGAGTACCACGTGAAGTACCCGAGTACCTCCATGAGAGTAAATGTTGAAGGCAGTGAGAAATTTAAGATGAAAGTAGGGGTCCACCAAGGGTCTGTCTTAAGTACACTTATGTTTATCATGGGGTTAGAGGCACTATCATAAGATACTTGGATTGGTTTGCCTTGGGAGTTGTTGTATGCTGACAACTTAGTGCTGATAACAGTTAATACTGAAGAGATATTGGAGGAATTGTAAGAAATAGAAGGAGGGAATGGAGTCAAAGGATATTAAAGAGTGAACTTAGCAAGCATATTGTACAGTACAGGTATACTGCCAGACTGGGGTCACTAATTCTAAGGGGAAATACTTAACTCTAATCTTAATTTCTAAGGGTCGCTGCCACCAGACCCCCTCTGGACAGTATGTAGCTCGTTAGGTAGAGTGGACTAGGCATTAGGTCAGGTTTTTCATTGACCAGATCGATAAGGGGGAAAGAAGGGTGAAACCACAACATGTCTTAGTTCTTTCTACTTACTTCAGTTCATTTTTGGTACTACCTAACCTCAGTTCTTTTTGGTAGCATGTCGATGGTCTAGGCACATGGGTAGTGTAATTCTGATATCAGGGTCACTTGGACGGAAATAAAGGTAACTACTGTGGGAGAAATGAATACTCCTAAAATACTCAAAGAACAAGTTCATTAATATAAAATGAAAGGGGAAAAGAGATATTATTAACATATAACTACCAGGTTCAACTCCTGGGCCTATTGCAGACTCCGTATTTCTTATTTACTTATTTTCCTTATTTACTCAACAACAAGTACTCGGATATTACACTCTTACCGTTGCACAATCTTACTGGTGTCACATTACATTACATAGCAGGACCAGTTCCTTGTCCCTACTCACAATACACAGTTACAGTAGGCTCTCACCAATAACGTTTAATAGGTGCCTGAAAAACACCGTTATTAGCGAAAATGTTATTTGTGTGACATTAAAATACATGTAAAAAGGGTTTATTGGTGCCGCTGCCACAAGAATTTCACCCATTTTTCCCCCTTGAAGCCCTCCTAACACTTTTTGTTAGCTGAAATAAAAAGAATTGCTATTCAATCATCAAAATAAAGAGTTTGAGTAATATAACACTTAGTTTCACCTTATCGAGGGGCCAAGTAACACTTGCACTTGCTCCTTCATTCCTATTGCAAGCTAACCATTTCACAAGAAAATGCTATGTTATCACTAACAACCTGTTTCTATCTTTCTTATCATTCAAAGTAGCTCACCCTCGATTTATCACTACCATCAAAATATTTTTAGCCAGCACAATACTCTTCTTCTTGGTCCCTAAGTTCCTCCTTTAATACGTGACTGTAGACCCAGGTAACAGTCCAATTTCTCACTTTAAAGTTCCCAGTCATTCAGGGAAAATCACTCCACCACAACTCCAAGCCCCACATAAAACCATTAGCTATTACGATCAATCCAATCAACCAGAACCAAATATCCGAATTTTAACCATCAAACAATGGAAATGGAATCCAGATATCGAAAATTAAATCATAGAACTTATTTAAACCCATCCAACATTGACTCCACATCATTGAGATAACACATCGACAAACACCTAAATACCTCCACCCAAATAGCAATTATCAACAACATACAACCGCACAAACCGGCAACCAAGACAGTACCACGAATCAAAACAACCGATTATCGGTTGCAAGCACCTGCCTCAAGACCGCCATGGAACCCAAACAACATCGAAATTATAAACCACATGGACTGGAGGATCAAGGCCTAATTAATCACACCAAATCAAACCGAAAAGAATGACACCCAATCATGGAAGGAAAATAATTACCACGAACCAAATTGAATCAAACATAAGGCAAGAAATCAGGACGTAAGTAGGGGATACTTCTCGCCGCCATGCTATTTACACAATGCACCAGTTGGTTGTGACCCAAGCAACACAAGTTTAATTGCAAAAACTAACCCAAGACTGAGTTCGCTGAGAGCGAAAAAAACCAGCCATGGCAAACGTGTCAAGCTGACCAATAGAACGATCCTGAGTGTAACTAGGGGAAAACACGTTCTCATAATGCTACTAATACATACAATTAATATCATATAACCCATACTGGGTACACCATCAAATAATCCCAAAACATTCATCTAGGTGAGCTGTCTCTATCAATGACTCCGCTCTCTGAGATTCTACAAGCGCAGTGGATTTGAATGTTAAGGAAGCGAATATGAATTACAATGTAAAGGCTTTTTAGGAATAACAATGATGTGGGCAGTATATGTATATCTCAAAAAGGATCTGCCGGATGGGTCCGATGACTTCCAAAATGCTAAAGGCACATACGGCTCATGATGTCCCGAGGGGTTGGTATGCGACCCGCGGCATACTGATCCCACCACAGAACTACATTTGGGAACCGAACATCATATCAATTACACCGAAATAAATACACATTGCATATGTTAAACTATATAGGTACCAGTAAATGTATATCCCAGTATTTATCATCCATGTCCTCAAAATGTTTGCCACAGTGTGGACAGATATTTTTGAGATACTATACAAGAAGTACACTTGGAAGTCTTACATATAATCCCTATTCTGTAAAAGTGAGTTGGTGACAGGAGGGAAGACGAGCCATAAAACTTGCTTCAAGTTTTATCGATGGCAACCAGAACACCAGGCCATCAGGTAATCATGGCAAACATGGAAAATGGCTATAAAACGATGTCATTATAATTAGCAGTTGTAGAAGCCTAAAGTTTCCTCTACACTTCATAAATTGGGCAATTATTATGAGGCCACACTACCCTCTTATCAGCCTGCTGATGATTGTAAAACTCTAATGGTAAAGTATCATTGGTGATATATAATAACTGTATTGGTGACTGGATGAATCTCGGTAACTTGCGAACTGGGGTAATAAACACAAATTTGAATACTGTGGTGTATATAGTCAGACTGGGTGGAAAAGCCATAGACATACATACGCCTAATTAGGTTGAGGATTAAATGTCTAAATTTCTTAAAAGCAGCAGTCATTACTTACACATTCCCAGCTTTCTTTAATATTGCAACAAAATGAACGTACTTTTTCCACCTCCATTTGATGAATTGGCATTATATACTGTTCTATATATGAATTTGATGATTAATTATGATATACTGTACTTATCACTAGACTTGTTACAAGGAAAAACAAACATGAAATTGGAGATCGTTATATTATTAAACAGATAGAAGTCTTGCAAGAAGGGACGTAAAATAATTTAAATTCACCCACGGAGAACACTTGCATGATGAAAAGATTTTTGCATGTATAATCCTATTGTATAACTTGGGTAGTACACAGCAAACAAAGACAACTCACCTCATGTTAAGGTCCTAATGTTGTTACTCACACCACAGGCTCAAGTCAAAGAAGCTGGAGATGCTCGCCATGACGGAAATGACAAGGACACACTCGAGAGAGACGCGAAACACAGAATACGAATTACACTATTATACTTAATTTGTCCATATTCACTTTCCATAACACCAAATGTTCTTCATACAGTATATCTTAATATCCTTCCCCAAATTTTTCTTCCACTAGAAAGCTTGCCTCTACATAGTATTACAATACCATCTTTTTCCTTCTTCTCCCAATTGTTAGACAACAGCAAAACCTTCCCAGCATACTTTATAAGTCTAAAGGCACTCTGTTTTGCCCTTGTAGACCAAGCCAACATGAGAATATCAAACATAAAGTTTTTAAAAGGAGCAGTTAAAACAACAAGCGGATACATAAGAACAAACATATAAAATACCCAAAACTTATATGAACCACCGTCCACCATACCCCAGTAATAGAAAGGTATCATGATGGTGTTGACAATGATGAATATTATGCAGGCAGAATGGATAACAAAAGCCCATGGGATAAATTATGTTCCTTTAGCTAAGTTAGGAGCGGATTATCTAAAACTGATCACAAATTAAGAACCATTATTAAACCGTTTGATATGGAAACGCCTCTGATCCTAACAAAACAGCCCGTGTTACCAAATAAATATTAAACTGGTGTCCAATGAAGGGTTAATAGATTTTCAAGGGATTATAAAGATTAATCCAACAAAACAGATCACGATGAAAAAGCTTTAAATACCACATACATACAGCATACAGCAGAATGCTCGTAAACACAAAGCCAATAATATTTTTATATAAGAAACTATAATCCCCATAAGCAATCCAAATAGCTACAGAAAATATAGATTTAAAAGAAAATAAAATAAAGCGCTATTAGGTCCAACCCACTTCTAGAATAGATGATGAAAACGCTTACATGCTCATAAATACAGAATATTTATTAAAAATGTAAACCTGCTACAAAAAAAAAAAATTATAGTCTCAACACAGAAAAAACCTTCCCTTTGATCTCTCTCCAACCCAATGAAAATTATCCTCACCTCCCATATGCAGCATTAAATTCATATTATAGACCATCAAAGAAAAGACACAGTTTGTCACTACTCAAATAACCATGAAAAAATGTTCAATAAACCTACCAACTAATGTGGTGCACAAAAATACTTCACAAGGATATATAGATTGAATAGTTTTAAACAGTTTTAGTAATACTAGCTTAACTGCAAATAGAAAATAATCATTTGAAGCTGCATGAAAATGTAAACCCTTATAACCAACAAATAAATAAATAAGAAGCCAAGAAGCAACACAACCAACTAACCTAGAAACATCACAAATCAGATAGAATTTGCTACTCCCACAAAACCCATATCAGCCTTGAACATATCTCTACCGCACCAAACAAGAAAAAAAGCAGACATACAAAGCAAGAAATAAACTAGATAACAAATGTAAAGCATAAATCGAGACTTCTTCACCGTTATGACCAGAGAGAAGTCTAGTCCATCATTCTATACCACACCACACA